TTAATTGAAATAATTAAATAATTGAAATCTCAAAGCCATGTACAGACGTTTCCGAAGATTAATGCTTAGCCAAAGAACCAAAAGAAAATCGGTTGGAACTACGTTTTCGATATTTATTGAGAGTGTGAAAAAAAAATTAAAAAAGAGCTTCAATAAAAAAAGCCCTTAATCTATCCTCTGCTCATAAACAATATTAAAATATATTTTTGAGACATCTATAACTTCTTTAAAAAAAACACACAAATTTATTTATTAATACTTATTATGTATAGTATTAATACTATACATACTAAAGGATATTAAATGGACCAAAACTAATGTACGCTACTTACTGGTTTTTAGTTATGAAGTTAATTTTTTCCAAAATTGACTTTCTCTGCTCCTCGTATATCTATTAATATTCAATAAGAACGATATTTTCATTTCTTGGATCAAGGAATTACTTCTCAAAGTAAATGCATTTTAAAATGAAATAGCTCAATGTTTTGATATTTTTTCTGTATTATTAAAAATTTAACAATTTCCAATATAAATAAAATTATCAATTAAGTTTTTTTTATAAATAAAATATCTAGAAACTCTGTTTTCTGTTTTGTTTCTGCACCGCACATGGCGAACTGCAAGACCTCCCCCTGAATCGCATTATAAGCTTTTCCAAAGGTACTAATTGATTCTAACCCTTGAGTTTTTAACTATACGGTAACACAAGAGGCTTATAAGCCTAAGTGGATCCTTTGGGATCGCCGGTATAATCTACCTACCTAATTTGCTTTTTTCATTAAGTATAAATTTTGCATTAATGCCATTACAATCATTGACTACTATTGATAGTAACACTTGCATTTTCATCATATTTCAAGAAATATGGTTCGTTGATATCACCACATCAAATACTGCATTGTCAAATGGATGGTGATAAGGTCAATTTTTGTTAAAATATTTTCCATTTGTAAAAGAATGACCCATACGCAAATGGTGTATAATATATATAGGGAGTTTGTTTTGAATCGGTAATTTTTTTTGAATCAGTAATGAGGAACTAATTTACCAAAATGAGTACTCAATTGAAAATTTATACACAGTGCGATCAATAAGTCGACTAATTAAGTTGACTATTCGTAAAACGACTTAAAAACTTCACAACATGTTTATTCTTTGGGATGCCAAGCCATCATCAAGAGTACACAAAATTGAAAACATAAGATCATTCAATATTATAAAATTACAAGATTTACTATATTTACTAATATAGTATAAATTTTTCCCCTTTGGGCTTCTCGCATTCCGGAAATATAGGCTTTAATAATTAATTGACCTTATCTTTAGTAATAAACACAAAAGCGATACATCGTTTTTGTACTAGAGTTTCAAACAAAGTTTGAAGAGTTTTAAGAATTTGTGTTTTTGACTAATTTTTTAATGGCCATATTTCAGGATCTGTAAATGGTAGAGTTAGAATTAACTGAGCTTTAAAAAAAACTAATTAAATATTTTATTAATATACGTTTTTGCGTAGACTAAAATCTTTAGGTAAATATGATATATTGGAATATTTTATTTGAATTACTTTCAAATAATAAGACCGAATGAGTTTTATATACTGACTGAGGATTATTATACTATAATTGTTCAAAAAAATGAATATAATGTATTCAAAATTATTATTTATTTTAAAAAAATATAATGGTATTTAAAGAAACTGAGTAAGATGGTATAAGAATCGCGGTGAATAATACTACTTATTGGATTGTCTAATTATATACCCCATTTAGAAACATAATTTTTATGTTAAAGTAATTATTTTTTATTAATGATTTATTTAATGATGCATATTGTTTTTGCCAAAAATGAATCCGCTAAATAATTTATTCCTAATCCATTCAGGTGCTTTTGGCTGAATTACGTGATACGACATATTATTATGCGGTGAAATGTCTTAAAAAAGACGTCGTCCTTGAAGATGATGATGTGGACTCGACACTAATAGAGCGTAAAGTTCTGGCCTTGGGTACGAAGCATCCGTATTTGTGTCACCTGTTTTGTACATTTCAAACTGAGGTAAGTGCAAAATACAAAATATTTCAAATATTTAATTATTGTAATTTCATATTTCGAAGTCCGTATTTGAAAAAAACGCTCATGCTTATCTGAAATCATAATGCAATTAATAGCAATTGCAAAATATGAAAATTTCGCAACAAATAATTTTAAACAAATTTAAAAATTTTAAAAATATCTCAGAAAATGCTTGCTAATTGCGGTCTTAGATGTTGAAATAACATTTTCTTTAGGATTCATAAGATTCAATTTGGTATCTATTTTGCGGAGTGATTTATTTATTTGTTCTCTAGCGACTGTTGGCTTTCAACTTTATTATATATTATATTATTTATTTGTTTTTATTTAAAGATAAATTAATGTATTTGTACTTAAATTTATATTGTATATAATTTTGTTTTTTTTTTATATATATATATTTGTTTTAAATATTTTCATTGCTAATTGTTACTCGTGGCGCAAGTGTAGTTAACTTTTAAATAGCTATAAAAGTACGATTTGTTTAATTATTTTAATTTAAAATTATTCATAGTTAAAAATAGACTACACTTTAAAGACAACGAGTATGAGTTTTACAATGTACAGAAATGGCAGACATAATAACATATTTCTTTTAGATTGTTTTTGTAAATAGAAAAAAAAATAATCAAAATTAATTTAAATAGTGAACTTCTAAATGGAATTATACATAGACGATGCCATCTAACTGCAGACTCTGAAAGTCCTATTTTCTATTCAAACAGTTTTTTTTAAAGTAACACAATAACTAAGTTTGTAAAAACTATAACCCACTTCAGCCGCGATTCCATATAAACATAATTATTTATGTCCCAGTTATTTAGTTAGTTGTGGTGGAGGGAGGAACGCGTCCTCTTCAATTAGCTAAAAAAGCCGTTTTGGATCCACAAAACCTCGTAATAGGAGATTGTAGAGAGAAGGTCAAGCTAGAACCAGCCAGAGGCATTTATAAAAGTAAGAATCTGGCCAATGCTAATGCTAGAGATATATTGATGTCCTATTATACAAAAAAAAAACACATACACAACAAATATACTATTGTCAATTTAGAATTTAAATAAAATTCTATAATTTATTTATTTAAATAATAAATAATTTCTTATACCAAATAATTTTATTGAAATTGATAGAATGCTGTGACGGCCTACCATCCACATTTTCAGAAACCATTTTTTTTAATGGTTCCCTATATATTTATTGTCTTTATTGGTTGAATCTATTATAGAAAGTATAATAATAAGACATTTAATATTTTTAGAAAGTCCTTATTCGATGAATATTTAATTTAATTCAACGATGATATATGGTACTATGTAGAATCAATTATTTCTTTAACACCTGTTAGACTATAAGAACTAACAATAAGTAAATACGCGCCTTTAAAACATTAACAAAATTAAATAAAAGATAAATTCAAAGGTAAAATTCTAAAATTAACGGAGACTCGTATGTACTAGTAATTCGACCACCGACTGTGAATGCTAACACGTAAAGTTCGATGGCCACTTTATAGATCAGGGCACAGAAATTTGTACTACATTTATACAGGAGGAACTATGTCTCTTAGTACAAATTGCTTATCAATGAGAACAGAATCGGTGACCACAAACGCGAAGACTGTTTCTGCTACTAAAAATCACTGCATTTTTTTTTTATTTTAAAATAACTTCCGAAAAACTATTTCTGTGGAAGGTGTTCAAAACAAAATTGGTTCATGATTACGCATTTGTATTGTTTTATCTACTATTCGTTAATTTAAGATAAAACTTATTGTTTTGTTTATATATTTTGCTCCTTGGTCTAGTTTTCTCATTGAAATTTTTAAAATTTAACCAAAAATTTTGTTAATAGGAATTTTTTATATTTTCATATCTATGAGAATTAATTATTGTTAATTAATTATGATATAGAAAACTGAAAACGTTATCACATGCATAAATTTATTTTAATACTACATAATTATTAATTAATTTATTTTAATTTATTGTAAGCTTTTAGCACTTGTCAGTCCGTATATATGTTTAATTACAAATTTTGTTTAGGTACTTATTTTTTTAAATCAAGACAAGATCAAAAATTTCATACATATTTAAACTGAACTGCTTTGGAAGATGTGTTGGAATTAATAAATCTGGTAATTTATATTCCAAATCTGATACACAAACTAATCAATCCAAACTGAGACTTACCTATTATTAATAAAATTATTTATATGCATTTCAGAAACGGTTGAAATATAAATTGTTGTTGAAAATCTTCTTTAAGTGTTAATATACTAATAATTTGAACTTATAACTTAATACTGAACAACCCTCCAATCCAGCAAAAAAAAAACAATTTTTATTGACGTGCGACTCCATTTTTCAAATAACTTTCCTTCCAGAGTGGTACACTTATTCCAAAGCTGCGTAAACTTTTCGGGGATTTTTTTGCAAAACAAATTTTCTTTGCCCTCAAATGTGAGCAAATGTATTACAACCTTCTAGGTAGGTTGGAATGGCAGCCTTGTTTCCAAAGAGTCCACTTGAACTCAAATAATGGCCCATTATACTACCTTCTATAGATCGGTAACAGTTTAGCTACGGGAACTACGGGAATAGCCTTAAACTTAGGCTTCTAAGTTTAACCTTCGAAGGTTAAACTTATTTTAACTTATAAAATTACTTTATCAATCTATAAAACTTTAATAAGTATCTTTTTATAGTGTTTTGGATTGGTAAATCTGGATTCGATCAAGATCTCAATCTGTCAAATTCTTCTAAATCTTCTAAATCTAAAAAGAAGAAAACTGGAATTTAATTTAAAATTAAAATAAGAAAAATGGAACAGAATGTAATTGCCTAAACTGCCCGGCTTAAGAGACCCTGAATTCGACTAAATGACAAACTCAAAATATTTGCTGAACGCAATTGATTTAAATCAAGTACGAGCGCGGTTTGATAAGTCAGTGACTTTTTGAATAAAATAAATTTTTTCGGCAAATAAACATTTTATTTTTCCACATAATCACCTTTTAGCTCGATACATTTAGTCCAGCGTTTTTCTAATATTCTTATTCCCTCCAAATAATAGGTTTTCTCAAAGGTCTCAAAATACGCGTTTGTTTCGGTAATGACTTCTTCATCCGACTCAAATCTCTTACCGCCCAGCCATATCTTTAGGTTTGGAAACAGAAAATAGTCACAGAGAGCTAAATCTAGAGAATATGCTGGATGGGGTAGCAGTTCGTATCCCAATTCGTGGATTTTGGCCATCGTGACTTAATCAGCACACGAAATTCACTTTTTTCCATTTTCGTAAAAATTCACGTGGTTGTCTACTTTGAACGGCTATCAAACACCAACTGAACGACGTAGCTTGCTCAAAATTAAAAAGTTGCCTACTGGTAGATTACAGCTGACGGCAGCACTGTTGCATTTGGAGTAACTGCGCGGAAAATTCAAAAAGTCACTAACTTATCAAAGCGCCCTCGTAATTCTACAACCAGTATTGATAAAATTTGAAAAAACCACAATTTATCATAGTTAAGTTCATTCATATAGCTGTGGTTTATGTGTTAGTTTTAAACAACTCAAATAATAGCACAGCAAGTGCAATTGTAATTTGCGAATAAACACCAAAAATTGAAAGAAATCGAAATCCGAATAATGTGAATTTAATATAAGTTGGCTTTGTATGTTAACACGCGAGACCACGACTGAAATTTGATAGTCCTGAACATAGTCTAAACTATGTTCAAACTCTACCGTTTTTTTTAATTGGTATAAATTATAAGTTTTAGTAAATTGGCTTGAATAAGATGAGAGAACCTATCTAATATGTTTTCAAATTTCAAATCTAAATGTTTTATTCTTTAATAATAAGCCAATCGATCAAGTAGTGAGATTAGGTATCAAATTATAGAAAAATTTAAATAGCTATATATTTAAGAATAAATTTCACCTTTCCGTCAGATACCAATTCATAAATTAGTAAATGCATTTTCCTGCAATAAATATATCTTTTTCTAAAATCATATATATCTTAATACATACAGAAGGCTTGACCTATAAAATAAATGTTTATAAGATATAAATTTTATAATGAATAATTTTATATAAAGTGTCATACTCGTTAAATAAATTTAGCGAAAAAATGTTTAGTCGTCAAGTGCCATTCTAAGCTGTAAATCATCTCATAGTTACATTTTTGTGTATTCAAAAATTAATATTTAACTATTAACAACAATTTTGAATATAAATTTATAAAAATTTTTAAATCTTTTAAGAGTCACTTATTTTTTGTGATGGAATATTTAAATGGCGGTGATCTCATGTTCCACATACAAGAAAGTGGTCGTTTTTCGGAAGAACGTGCAAGATTTTATGGTGCCGAGATTATTTCAGGTCTAAAGTTCTTACACAAGAAAGGTATCATATACAGGCAAGTATTCATTTATAAAAATATGTATATTAATTTAATTTTAATAAAACTTTTTTGTGAAATCCACAGAGATCTCAAATTAGACAATGTGCTGTTAGACTACGAAGGTCATGTACGTATTGCAGACTTTGGTATGTGTAAATTGCAAATATATCTGGACAAAACGGCGGACAGTTTTTGCGGTACACCAGATTACATGGCGCCTGAAATCATAAAGGTAGAAAAACTTTGCATCTATGAGAAATTTTCGCATATAAAAAATTATAACTTCTTATAGGGCGAAAAGTATAATCAAAACGTTGATTGGTGGTCATTCGGTGTACTTTTATATGAAATGCTAATTGGACAATCTCCATTTAGTGGTTGTGATGAAGATGAGCTCTTCTGGTCTATTTGCAATGAAATTCCATGGTTTCCTGTATATATATCAGCTGAGGCAACTAGTATACTCAAAGGTGTAAGTTACTTCGCACTCCACCGACAGATAATCCATTCAATCAATTTTCTTTCTTTATTTAAAGCTTTTAGAAAAAGATTACACAAAACGTGTTGGCTCACAATATAGTCCTGCTGGTGATATAAGTGATCACATTTTCTTCAGACCAATTGAATGGGATCTCTTAGAAAAACGACAACTAGTACCTCCATTTAAACCTCAAGTGGTACGTATTTAAAAAAAACG